ACTTGAGGCGAAGTTTACTTCCAGTCCACGATTGGCAGAGCATAGTGTTTATTATGATTCAATGAAAGTATTGAAAACGTGAAAATATGACAAACCAATGAGTTAGGAAGGGAAAGGCAGTGATTCATACATACAACGGTTTTTTATACATTTAAATTATACATATTGAATCAAAATTTTCAGCTTGTAAGCTTGGCATCATCGATGCTGCAGTATAGACATTTACTTTGCTCGGTTTATTCGAAAATATTCTTTGTTTTCCTATTGACGATTGATATTATTTTCTGTTTGTTGAGAGTAATATTCCATTGTTAAGATAGCATTGTTAATATTATTTTTGTAGTTTCGATCATAACAGATAGTCACGTGAATTCGTGGATCATAATATACGCTTTTACAGGTTAGACTATTTATATGATACTAACGTCAAGATATAACAAATTTCCTAGCCTACAGGTATATCGAATATCGTATTGATGACATCAATACGGAGTCTGGTTTCATCATATTTTATATTGTCACAAGCAACATAATCCGATACTTTCTGTTCTAATTCGATGTCATTAGCTTATAACGGCTTTCAAGTTCTCCAAGACATTCGAGTACGAATAACTATTGAAGCTTGTCCTAATATGAAAATACGAATGCTTCAGTGAGCGGTGCGGGTTTTCCGGGTTGTTTAGTCAATAACACTACACGGTGATTTGTTTCATATTTTATGAATATATCCGTGTACCGTAAAAAAATAACGAAGTGTATCATTCGTAAGTTGAAGATTTGCTATTGAAAGCTTTTTTTAATTTGTAACTACTTGATTCCATAATTTTTCAGATACTGACAGATTGTAGAATTCAGGGAATTTAAATTAATTCGATCATGTTTCCCACAGATGGTATTAACTTCCCACCGCTGTACAAATGGTTCATGCACACGAAGGATTGTTATCGTTGTTATGTTTATCGTGTCGGGCCCTGTTGTGAAGCTTAAGCCAAACACGTTTCTAACATGGCATTTCTTCTTGCGTAAACAATGCATAATTAGAAACTGACTATTCTATAATAATACTCTTGGTAATATTATAATGAGCTTAATTGATAATACCTATCGATCGTTTTAAGGATAAGGAAGCGTATGATTTTTGAACTCGAATAAACTGAATACTAATACAAGTCTTCATGGCTTATAAATTGGTTCTAAATCAGTTGTCGGTGCTGTATTCCACCTGATAAAGCTGAGAATAAAAGTTAGTGTATATAGTTATTGTTGAATATGTATAACTTTGAGTTTCTGGCAGCTGAGATGAAGAAAAATAGTAAGGCAAACATTTTTATCAAGACAGTTCAGGACAAGTTGGTAAGCAATATTACTAAGTTGTTCTTAGTCTCAGAAATCCTAAGATAATATACATATACATTTATTGCGGTATAAAGTCGTATAGCTTATTTAGTAATTTAGTACCCTGATCAAAACTGCTCAACTTTAATTCTATGGATGAAGTTCAACAACAACAGCAAATTATGTGCGTAGAATTTATCACACTATTTCATCGCGTCTGTTACCTAACATAGTCATCCGTTTGTTAGTTTGTCGTAGGGTTACAATAGTGTTCAATAATTGCCACGTCAATACGCTAAATTTGTCCGTCTGTCGGAGTGTTGTACAATTTGTCGAAATATTTCATATCCAGATGTCACATAGGAAGTTCGTGTCAATATTAAAATTCATATCCCATCTCAGTATCATTTTTTAATAAATATTTTTGTTTTGATGTCTATAAAAATCATATTAAATTTAACGAGCTTATTCGAAACTTACATTGTGTAATCATAAAGGCACAAAAGCATAAAAGAAGGATTAAGTAGTAAGTTCCACAGAAATCGAATCACTACCGCAAGTGTGATCATAAATTGTTAATTTACATGTATTTTATATTGTCGTAAAATGTCGAGCCCTCGTCCAGAATGGGAAAGTTGTGTTAGACTAATGTATTATTACGCTTAATATGAATCCGTTTACATGTTGGATGAAGCGAACCCTTTTAAGAATCAGATTCGACGAAAGTAAAAACATAAGACGCGCAAGAGAAACACGGGTTTAAAAATTTTATGCTTTTGAGCATTTTTAGTGGACTTTGGGTGTTGATCTTCATGGTATGGACTATCTAACTTGTGAACCCAACGGCCAAAATTCTTCAGCATTATCGAAACTTACTAGATTGAGTTTACGGATCCTACCATTATCACCAGCCAACCTACAGATTATGACGACAAGATGGTTCGTCATGTTAAAATAGTCATATTTACCCTTATGAATACAAAATACTCGAAACGATCTCTTGTTTTTGTAGTGCACTTTCACATCTCAGTAGGTGACCAGTGGGCTACGAAAGGGCTACTATTTTGGACGAATCGAAATTTTGTTGGTTCGCCATTACCTACTATACAAACGACGACGGGGTCCCCTTATCGCCTGGTATGGGAGCTTGTTAACGACAGTTACCTTACTAATTACAATATGTTAAAAAAACGTGTTTTCATGACATGAATGGACACAATAGTTTCAAGAGTATCTAAGCGATGATAATGCAACGTCAGTTTCAAGGGGGGAGATTTTCGATATCACGCTTGTCTATTTTTGATTAAAATTAAACTATATATACTCAAAAAATCAAATTAAAAAATATTGACTGAATTGAGTTTTATTACTGATAATGGGATAGGTATGTTTATTTTATTCATACATAGACCGTAATATTTTTGTTCATGCTCATCAAGAATCATTTAAATGTAGAGAATTATCATTGAGCATAGATAAGATTTTCCATGAACCTAACGCATACTTACAGTTGATGAAAATCGACCTAAAATATATTAGGCGCACACGGTGGTGATTACGCGATAGATTAGAAAAAGACGAAAAATAACCTAAATTTGCAAGTAAAAGGTTGTGACGTGAAAGTCGGTACTCTTTTTATACACATTCGCTCAAAACAGATGAAATAGGTTCTCTATCAAATGCAGTACTATACTTAGTACTACAGCTGAGGGACTCGGTGTAATGATGAAAACAATAGTTCGTACACTGCGGATAATTGTTTCCACTATCTTGTACATATGCAAAAGCGATTTATTTTCTACTGAATCATTGTAAACTTTACCCCAATTTTAACAGCAAAAATCTCCTAATTTTGGCTCACGTCACGTCGTCCCGTTTACTTCCTGCTATTGGTGATTCGTACGATGCATGATTCACAATTCATGAGAAATATTAGCAATGAATTTTTTTTCGTGATGATGAGACGACAATCGAATAGTTAGTTGGTGTCATGCTATATTCTGAATATGAACCCGGAATGAGCTAAATACTTATATATATAACATGCATGGCTGAACCGCGACGCAGGTTTCGGTTTGCAACATTGCTTCTTATAATACGGTGCGCAAATGAAATGAAAGAATATAGCATGTTGCATCTGGTTAGATAATTAACGGAAGTCATGTATTGAAGGAATGGTTTGCGGCCGAAAACGTCTCTGCGAGGCAATATACGTTTATTGATGAATTCAGTGCTGTGTGAGAGAGACCCCACAGACGCAATACTCGCACATTTTATTGTAAAACTATAATTGTTGAACGTATGATAGATCATGTCAAATGAAGGACAGTATAGAAATCAGAGAAAATAGCGTATGACGTGCGTAACACCTCATCATTTGGGTTCATTTACGGATATATAACGCAAAATAGTTGTATGATGGTAACATTGTATAAAGTTGATTTCAAAATAATCTTCGTTTTGCGAGATTTTCTTAATAGCTAACCTAATTGAGTGCTGTTGCGAAAAATATCTTTAGACCCCTATTGTATATCAAAAATTCAACACTTTCATTGACATCAATGTCAATTGCATTGTAATCTGGTATCCAAATGTGTAATGATTGATGTTTAAAATATTTATGAATTTTCGCATGGTTTCTTGCTTAGAAACAATTTATCGTAATGCTTTAGAGTGCTCCGTTCGCATGTTTGCTTGATTTTAGCCACAATAGCCATTTGTCTTATTTTGATCGTCCCCTCATTCATTGTTATTTTGACATTTATGATTAAAAGTATGCTACTGTTTGCCGCCTGTTTTGGTGCAATCAGATTTGATTTTAAATCCAATAATAATGAAGAAAATACAACACGTAAATACAGCATTCAGCGCTGGATAATATTTACTCTGCGTGTATATTTGCCTCCGCTTGTCCGTCGGGTATACTGTAATTATGTTATATTGTACCTTTTTTTAATCCAACAACCTTATTAATTACCAGTATCGTGTGGTATTATTGTCCCAACACTGAGCTATTCGCCTGTTGTTCAAGGTATAAGAATGCAATCGTTATTCTTTTCATTCTCTTCATATCTTACATCGAAAATCGATGCCTTGGATTAAACCGGATAAAACACATTGATTTATCTCGACTAAATCACGCCAATCGAGCGATTAGTGTCACAGAAAGTTTGATTTAGCGTGGACATGAACGTAAGATGTAACTTATTTGTGGGGCTGCCCTTTTAGAAAGATAAAAAGTAGAACCAGAAAAGTATATTCAGTTCCAAGATGATCCAAATGTTTCAGTTAGCTGAAGGTCGAATGATTAACTCGCAAACGAAATTTTAAGTTTGTTGATTATGAATCTTCACGTTATAAAAATCGTCGCGTTTTCTTTACGCATCTCCCCATGTACATCCAAATTGTGATAGGTATTTTAGAATTTTGCAATTTCATCTTCTTTTGAGTCTTACGCGTCTCAATCACAACTTATTTCTTGATATAACTAAAGTATTGGCTAATTAATCGTTTTAATTATGCACGCTTCACGCCATTGATAACCAATTTAACAGTTAACGTTTTGCTTGTCCGAAAATATACCTTTAAGAATCTCAGTCTTCCTAATCTTTAATGTTGTGTAAAAGTTATATAAAAATTCGTATTTTGAAAAACGAACAAACGTCAAATGTATTTTTTTTAGAAAATTTATTTATGCATTGTTTATTTACATAAAATTGGAATTATAATTTGAATGTGTTTGAAAAATACACTACTGAAAAGAAAATGACAAATCTCACCTCGGAAGATCTTGAAGAAAGGGTGAATTCAATAGCTTTCAGGTGAGAGTAAATTTCAATTTTTCGAAAAAGAATGTAATAAACCAAAAGCATTGTGGGGCTTCTAAAATCACGTAATTGAAAATTCTTATAATTGTATTAAATTGACAACATTGACATTGTTATATGATATATATATTATGGATGCCACTGGAACATGCATCATAATGAAAACTCGGGAATGAGAAACGATGATTCTTGATCCTAGTGATCGCCATAATTGGATCGGAAGTTTCACTTCCCTGTTTTCAATTATTCACTGAATGACGCAAAGAAAGTCGATTGAAAATATTAATTAGAGTGATGCATAAGAAAAAAATAAAGAAAAAAGAAAAAATAAAACGAAGAAATGTAGACTCAGTATATGGTTATCCAGTTTCACACTGAATGATCACAATCGTTCTTCCGCGTGCCCCTGTTTGACTCAAGGAAAATGATCGCTAAAGATATGCAAAATTAGAATTTACATATGACCTGAATTGCTTGATGCTTCACGAAGCTCGCGAAAATATAATTTTTCTTTTATCACACAAAACCGTTTTTTTTGCTGGACAATCTTTACATTTCGAATACTTTTATTCAAAATTTATCAAATTCATACCTTGTGTCTTGAATAATGACTACAATGATAATAAAGTATGTCGCGTTGAGAATTATTGTTTGATTGCTTATCTCGGCTAGATTCTAACTACCTTAAGTATGATATTATTAATTCCGCGTTTTGTTTTTAATTTCAATAATCTGATGCTTGCATGTATTGTCTCCTTTTATTTCTGATATATTTTTTATTGAATTTCGTTCTTGTTATTGAGTAAAAACAACTACAATCAATACATATCTCATTGATGCCATCTGACTGAATAAAACATAAATCGGCATTATATTAAGAAATAAACCTATTTTACTCATCTTAGCATTCGTTAAAGTACTGGTCTGGTGGTCAAATAAATTCATCATTTGCTATTAATATTAATAGCGTACACTAAAATAATGAATATATCTAGTATAAGAAAGTTTTGAAACGACAATAGTAAATTATTCAGTGGGCATAATTACATTGTGAATAAATAATCAATTCACAGATATTTTGTCCATTGTATAATATAAAATAGGCTTTTTTCTGTTTTATTTTTTTGAAATTAGTCCACAAATAGGATTAACCTAATTAGATTTTGACAAGCGTGTTATTTTAAAGTTATTTTTATTACAAAATTAACCAGCCAATTTAAATTTAAATTACTGTCACACTCACGTTACATTTTCTACGATTTTACATTAATTTCATCGTGAAACACAGTTAGGTAAATTGGAATATTATCAAAATAACCGATCTTCTAAAGATTATTAAATGCAATATTTAAATCACTTATAAGTGAGTAATGATATTTTATCACACATGACTAAAATTTTTCTTTTTATTTTATTTCATTTTAGGCATTTCGGTATAGCAATTGGATTTTGGACCATTTTTATTGGTTCGTTTGGTAACATGTTGACCATATTAACATATGTTGCAAACAAGAAACTTCGAACGTCTTTCAATGCTTTCCTTCTTAATCTCGCTGTGATTGATTTTTATACATCGACTTGTATGATTCCTTTCAATGTGGCTGGATACATTCAAATGGAATGGTAAGCTGAACAAAACTTTCAAGTTTTTTATTTGGTGCACATGTTTTTTGCAAAAGAAAAATGATCAAATATATGAACTGCAACGTGGTACTCTCGTCCACGAAACCAGTCTAAAGATAACGCGTCAGAACAAATCTGTCCGTTACGATAAATAATTTTCTAGTATATACATAAAAAAAGTCAAAATTTGCAGATTTTTTCCACTTTATATTATTTTTCTCTGATCAGGCCATTTGGAAACGATTCGTTCACAGCCCGACTGCAAGCATTCAACTATTTCTGTTGTGGATATACGTCAGTTGTATTTCTGGTTGCTATCACAGCGAATAGGTTTATCGGTGCAATTTTTCCAGGAAAATACAAGATTTGGTTCAGTAAAGAAAGGTAATTTAATTTTTGTTGGAGACAACTAAACCTTTGGAGCTAGTGATTTATATTTTATGATATTTTGCACATGAATGAAAACAATTCTGTTCTTTAGTTCCAAACAGTAAGAACGCGTTGTTTTTAGAGAATAGTTTTAGTACTAAAATACTTCAAAATGAATTTTAAAACTACAGGGTGACTTCAAAAAACAGAACTTAGTTCATTTGAAAGGTATTCTATAAGGAGAACATAACTTTACTGTCTTCAGTTACTGAAATTTTGGGATACGATCATACACAAAATTAAATTGTTCATATGTTAAAAATAAATTTCTCCATTTTCGTAGAGGTTTTATTATCACTATTATTTGTCAAATGTCCGATTAACTTTAATTCACAGAATGATTTGGATACTGATAGTCTGCAACATATGTGCCCCAGCCTTTTTACTTCCTTTCCTGGTTGGCACTCATTCCACTTGCAATGCACCTCTCTACGGTTTAACTGGTTACAACACAAAGCAATTTTTATGTACTTTCATCTGTCTACCACCGAATACAGGGTGGGGCCCGTATATGCAGGTAAGAATTATATATATTGCAGATAATAAGGATTACAATCGCGCAATTTTTCCCCTCCAAATGCAGAAAAATATGATCTCAATCTCATACTATGATAAAACTTGAATTCTTAAAGCGTTGAGGTGTAGCTTTGTATTTGCCTCTTCGGGCACGAGGTATGGACATATGATATATATGTATTGTTTTTTTTTTAATCCTCGTTATTGTGGTGATTGTTTTTATTGAAAGAAAAGGACTTTTCTTTGCAATTATTGGACAAATCTGTTTTAAAACTTCAGTACCTAAAGATTAGAGAGTTCGATCCATTTTCCTATTGTCAAATTTCCTCAGAGTCCTGTAGGATCTATAGAAACCTATATTTTACCAGGAATTTTTTGTATTATTTCAATTCATAGAACACTTCTTATTTTGCGTTCCTCGACTACATTCGTATTGCAAACTCAAAATTATTGGGCCTTAAGGAACAGTTCCCTAAGAGCGACTTTCGTGTCTATATAAAATAAGATTGCCTTCTTGTTTCATTAATTAAGTTACAAGATGAGTCAAATATTTCAACGTGAAACCTCGACCAATTTTCATTGATAAACAGACTTAGGTCAGATAAATATATTATATAAGATATATATAGGAGTGAAACAAATAGACAAAAATTGGAACAACATCGCATTCTCATTTACACAACAGTGTTGTTAATATTTATAGACATCCAGCGCACATCCAATGTATTTCCAGTCCCCTCTAATTTACCTAATTGTATATACTACAGATTAGATTTTCAATTGCGTTATTTTCAATATAGATATTCCGATCTATGTCAATTAAATTAAGAAAATATTTTCTTTCATTGACCGAATTCATCGTTTTATAATGGAAAGTCTAAATAAACATACACAATATTTCATTCGCTCAGTTCACGCGGGTTTTATTTCAATTTGTGCCATTGATTGGAATGATTCTGATGTATGCTGTCATTTTCACATTCGTACACAAAAGACGAAATAAACTCACTAACAAGATGGGAACTATGAATAATGTAAGTATTTTAGGTTTTTGATCGAACATGGTCTACAACAATTATACTAAAAACGTGCTTACACGACAAAGAAAGGAAGTATATTTTAGAAGTCATATTGGATATCTTACTCATTTTTAAATGCTGCACACGTGTGGCAACTTATTTTAGTCAAAGAGTCGTAGACAAAGACTCTATGCCATACGCATATTTTTAATCTATGTGCTGCATGCGGATCTTTCAATAGTTCCAATTTGATACTTGATTCAAATTATGTACACAATTTTAAATAATTATCACTCTCTTTCATTCAAACACAATATAAACAGTCCTTACGGCTATTGTTGTACAGGCCACCATAAAAGGCAAGGAAGGCAGAAGCATTGTTGGAAAGCCGGCATTGAACAAAACAAAGAGTCAACGTTCTATACAAGCTAAAAGGTATGCTGTGTTGTTGCTATTTTTAGAATTTTTAAAAGTGTTGTAAAAGTAAAAGTTATTTTTTAATGAATAATATTGAACATATTTTGTAATATTTGCATAGAGTTTTGATCAATAATACTTTTTTAAAAACACCGAAACCGTAAGGCAGGTTGTTGCTAACATATAAAGGAATATTTTATATATTATATATTATATTTTTATTAGGCGAAGTAAAGAAGACAGTCGAATGTTGGTGATAAGTGTTGTCATCTGTGTTGCATTCATGATAACATTTTTGCCGAGTGTGATTGTTAACCTACTGCCAAACAGGTAAAATTCAATATTTTCATTAGATATTTTATCTAATCTCTGTCGGCCAAATTGGAACTAAGTTTGAAACTACAAAAAAGTTTCGTTTGATCTTTTTAAATCAGAATAAAATACTTATGACCAGTGAGCTTTTGGTTTCAGTAGTGGCAAAATTCTTTGTAATATTCCAATCAAATAGGCTCATTCTCTGAATAGGCTCATTCATCACTCTGAATTAAACAAACAAAAACTTAGCCTCCGGAAATGACTATGGCGGTAACGGATGCTCCATCACGTCCTCGACTTAGCCTTTTACCGTTGAGCCAACCTATGTTGTTGCACTCGAGACTGTCATGTTCTGATTCATATCCGAAATATCTTATGGTAATATGACCCAATAGAACTTCGGCAAAAATGTGTATATTCCGGATACTCGTAATCTATACACATTGATAAAAAAGTATATCATTGAGCTGATTTATGTACATAGGAAGCAATTGTGCTGTACACAATTTATAGAAATAAAAGGTTTTAAGTATTTATTGCGGAATATGTGACATCCATGTAAAATTGTAAATCTTCATTTAGTACCTTATTTTATTACCTTCAATTGCCTGACTTCACGTTCAAGAAAACTGTAATCACCCCATGTCCCATTAAAGGCCATGCCCAGTCATAAGTTCCAGCCTAGCATATCCCGGCTTTTGTATGACAGTGGGCAAGACTCAAGAGCCTTTTCAGTGAAAAAAAATGGGACTAGAACTATACTCGCGATATAATATTACACATCATGTTCCGAGTTTGTCGATTGCAATTTGGGATAGTTGATTGATTTTTTATATATATAAGGCAATTCAGCGAGAGTCCATAACTTAACCTTATATTATGTTTACAGACGTGAAATTGATGTGAGATGGCATATGGCAGCATCCAACATGTCCTGGTTCAATAGTTCCCTAAACCCCATAATATATGTGATATTGAACAGGCGATTTCGACGAGAATACTGGAGAATCATTCAAATCGCTATTGGAAGAGTCAGAGAGAAATTCGTTCACGACTCTTCCTCTACGATCCCGACTCCGTCAAGCATTCCGCGAAACTCTAGTGCAGGAAATGTATCTGAATCATTGAGAGTTGCCAACAAAATTTAAAAAAGAGAGCTATGCTCATCAATACCAACTGATCCGAGTCACTTCTGTAATACCAGATCATGTCCCACAGCCTACCGTTTCCCATAAAAACTCCCCACTTTGGCTAAGCACGAGATCCGCCGATATGAGTTTGCGGAACCCCACAAGGTGAGCACATTTTAGTGACGTCATAGCACACAACGAAACGAATCCCATAGAGCTCACAGACATATTTGAAATAAATGAAAGTAATGCCTTTCTAGCGAAAAATACCTTTTATCAAAGAGAAAAGATTTTTTTCATAATGATAAAATTCTATGGCAAAGAAAAAGAACATAATAACAAAACGATCCATATGTCCACTCCGTGTCCTCTGTAGTCTCTAAATATCAACACGTCGTTATCTCGCTATGACACTATTACATCATAAAGTACCCCAAGCAGGCTTTAACAAGGTTAAACAAGGTTGTATATCTATTTATATATCTCTAGCACTAGACTAGGTTCTGCAGAAGTTAGTAACATTTTTTATTTTGGAGAACAGTGCTTTGCATTCTGTCATAGGTCATTATTAATATATGTTTAGAAGATACAAATTTTGTTCATTTTGTTCTAATGTCCAGGGTTCTATTATTTGTTACCAATAAAAATCAACTGTACATACAGAGTCCATTTCATTTTTATGACTTTCTTTTGTAAATATTTTCTATGCTACTTTAATTTTCAAAAAGTTCAAGAAATATTCTACTGCTAGAAATTTACGAAACAGACGACACTGCTCGAAGACGTTAGACTAAGATTTCACGATATTTACTATGTAAGATATACAAAAAAATAACGGAGTTTCTCAGATGAACAATACAATGTTTAATTCTTTATCGATCACCAATTCGTATGTTTTTTTTTTATAAAATTTTTGTATAATATATATCAATAACCCCCAAGTTACTATATCGAAATGATAACTTAAACCTAAATTAATTCTTATACAGAAATTATGTTGTCTTACATCTGCACTCTTATCACTTATTATTTTACACGAGATGCAATGTCATTAATTAGTAATTCATATTAGTTTCTTCGAGCTTAAAAACGCTGAATTTACTAATTGCGTTCTTTTGTTTTAATATCTGAAGTGATATTAATTACACAAACAATAATATCAGATTTTTTATTGCTTTTGTTTGTTATATTTACAGAATATTAATAAAGGAAAGATGAAAAATATTACCAAATATTGAAATTGATTTTAGAGTTGTCGACTTTATGTGTGAGAATAGCCTTAGATCTCATCAAAACGATTAGATTATTCAAATAAAACACTTGGAATAGAACAGACAGATAGAAATCTTTATATCAAGATGATAACAGTTCATGCGAACTTCATTAGCCTACTTGGAAGAAAATCATATATTGGATTGCTGCACGTGTAAAACAGAGATTAGCAAAACATTCAAAAGAACAGTTCCACCTTCGCTTAAACTTAGATATACTGCATTTGAGATTAAAAATTAGCCTACATCAGGACAAAACCAAGAAAGAACGTAATCAAAATGTTAGGGTTATAAAAAAGTTCAAAAGCGGCAGTGTAACAGCTTACTGCTTAGAGAGGTAAGTCGAATTTGTGGTATACATTTCACCATCAGTCTCAACATTTACGATTTTTGACTGGATGGGGGTTTGTGACTTCTTGCACATAATCACAAGCAAAATCACAAGAACAACGAGCATTAATACAAATATTCCACCACCAATCAGAATCCATTGCAGAAATTGATTGTTGTCATCTTGAAACAAGATATACAGTTATTTTTACTTTTGAAGAAAGTTATTATATATATCTTTATATTAATGATTAAAGCATTTGATGAATTTGCACAAATCTTGTCATTTGTGTTTTATTTGTTTAGTTTTAACTTTTACAATGATATTCTTTAAAAAGTTTTGTATTATTCAATTTTCAAGTTTCTGATTCTTCTGAAACAATTTTTCAAGCAGGTTTTACGTTCCACAAATATCATTAGTTCATATACCCTAACGTAGAAAATAGTAAAACAAAGCATGTACGCTTACCACTCTTCTCCGAATTTCCCAGAAGAATAATTTTAGTATCAATGGATTGAGGAGGCGATTGTGTTATTTCTTCAAATTTCTCATCATTGTCATCATCATTTTCGTGTTCCACAAATTCTTCTTCTGTGGCAGATCTGGAATGCAGGAATACGTGGGACGTGAATAAAAAATTTCGGTGAACAATTAAAACCCAAAGACAAATACAAATTAGAAACTAGAACCATAGAATCGGTTGCATTGGAACAGCGTATTTTTACAACAAAAATTTACCTCCTTTTTCTTCCGATAGAAGGTATGCAACCTTGAGAACATCTCGTGTTGTTTTGGGTCGAATCACAAATAAGTATTTGACACTGGAAAAATATTAAAATGAGCCATCTATCACCGTAGAAGTATATTAAAAAATCCCAAAGCAGGTCAGATTTAAAATTACATACTTGACCTTTCTTCAAATCTCCCACGACTTTTCAATACATTTTACTATAGTATATTAAACGTTACTCTTTATATATTGCGTAAGATTTCAATTGCAATATTTACTACCTGGATGAGAATTACAGTATCCTGTTTTTCAGAAAGAAGATTTGCGTCAAACGCAAAAGCTTGAATGCTGTATCGATTCTCCATCGAAGGTGAATTGTATTTCTTTAAAGTAGGATCGAGAAGGCAACTGTAAACACGATTATATTGGTAATGAAAATATTTTAAAGAACTGTTTAATGTGATCTTTAAAAGCAGCTTTCAATGTTCAAAAACCGAATGATCATTATTGTGACATTAAAGGCCAACAATGCCATTTATTGTAAAGCTATTTATGTCGAAATTGCAGCTTCATTATTATTGTCTAATTAAACTAGTTTAATGGGGGTTCATTCAACTATTTCTAAAATGGAATATAATAATCAGAATAAAAAATTGTATATAATGTTCAATTTCTTATTTTATGACAAAAATATTTTATCTGTGGACACATATTCTGTTACAAAATCTTTTTTCTAATAAATGAGTATCAAAATATTTTATAAAACTTACCCATTTTCAATAAAAGTATAACTCAAAGTGTTAGAAGTTCCCACGCTAGAGGTCGTGGCAACACACTTCTCAGTAAAAAACACCAATCCATCGCGACCAACAGCACCAAGTGAAAAGTATAATTCATTATTCACATCAACCTCAAGCGGAAAGTCACGTATTCCATATTTTGACTGATAAAGGAGGAGAAAAACATTATTATTGGACACGAAAAGTTCTTATGGATCTTTCAACTTAACTGTTGTTGTGGAAGAAAAATCGTTATTTTCTCAACTTATCGAACAATCGATTTCGAAGTTGTTTTACTGCTTGAGATGGTTAAACTCGCTTTGGGATTTTTAATTCTTTCCAAACTAACTTTAATACCTAAAAAACTTGATATTTTACCTAACATTTATCTGTTACATATCGATTCATGAATTACCGCCATTATATTACATATTATGCAAACACCAATATCTACCATTGGAACCTTGTTTTCATATATTTAAACATTGCTATCGTTTTCAAGTAATAAGCGGTAGGTAAAAAGCAAAACATAATAAAATTACTCTCTAAAAAAATTAACTCATTGTATTTCAATAATAGAATACTTACCGCAAAAGAGTTGGTCCGAAAAAAGTGAAAAAACAAGGTAAAAGTTCCCATTCCAACAATGGCTATTTCTTTTGGAAGAAAATTATCAATTAAGTCAGGAACTGGGATGAAAGATCCCGTTAAATTCTGTGATAATGGAACACTGCAAACAACTGGGACATTCAACCACTGACCTCTCACAGTAAGACCAAACTGTGTACCTTCCCATATCCATATATTCATTGCATATTCAATGAATGCGGAGCTAATCTGTAAACAATTACAAGTAATATTGTTTTTGACAAGCTCCAGAAAATAAGCTAATTACGAAAAAAGATGCCGTACAGATAATGTGAGAATGCTTAATGAGCAAGAATTAAATGGCCAACATGGCGCACTTCCATTTCAACACAACCTTTACTCACTCAAGCTTTTGAAAAACAATAGGAGTCTCCTTTTACGAGACTTTATTTTATTCATACGCAAAGCCATGGCTATTTATTCAAGCAAAAAATATTAGCGTATGCACGTTATTTGCCGGTTTCTGATACGTTATTGCGGAAAAATGTGACTTCAATACCCGCAACCATTCTTAAACTTCGACTCCACAATCCAATTCGAAACGCGTAAATGTTTTTTTCCAGTGATGTGTCTTTTTCTATAGTTACAAACTCAGCGTACATATATTTGTCTTAGATTTTAGATGATGTTGACCAAGTACCCGTTAATAGCATGTTCTCTTACCACAGAAAAGCGATAAATTGTAACCACGCTTTTTACTCAATTCTTTTTAAAAACAGTTTGACAAACACATTTTCAAATAATCTTACCTGCCAAGAAACTCCACAATCTTGTGCATCAAAACTCAGTTCGTAATTTGAATTTCTTTTGGCAGATTGACATTGACTTTGGGAGAAAAACCAACTTGTTGAACCTGCTACGATTGTTTCGGTGGAGGCACAACCGGCAATTGTAAGATCTATATCAACTCCATTGCAAGACACATTCATAAAAGCTGAAATATTACTTGTGCTCAAATATTGATTCATTTGTACAATACGATAAGAAAAACTTTATTCACTCATAAAGTTTTGTCATAATGCTGTACCTTCATTCTTTCAGAAATAAAATAAACAACTCACGAACACACGATTTTTCGTCTGAAGATAATTCCCAGCATGACCGCGTACAAGAGCATTTTCCAGTTGCGGGGTCAAAAACAGAAGAACCTCCTGATCCTTCGTAGCCGTTGTCGCACAAATTGGAGGTTTCTTTTAATAAACACAAAAATATGATTAAAATTAGCCTCTAGATACATCAAATACATTTTAGGGCACTTCCGAAGTATGTAAAACCGAGATGGCGGACACCGAAATGTAGTATGTGTACCAGATTAGGATTAGGCCATAATTTTCGGTACAAATACTACGGGAATCACTTGCCAATTACCCAAACTCTTAATAGAACGTAATACAATGAGGAAAATTGGAATAAAATTATGGCCTAACCCTAACTTGGTAGACATACTACGTTCCGGTGTCCGCCATCTTGGTTCACATACTTCGGGAGTACCCATGTTAGTGCTTACGAACAATACAAGGAGATTATTAAGTTCGTAACTTCGTAGGGTGTAAATTTCGAAGCTCCATGTAAATAGTATAACTTGACCGAAAGTGGATGGGATTATGGATAACATTTAACATTCTTACCTGGTACCACAACACTGAAGCATCGCTGCAGGCCATTTTTACTGTATAAAAAAAACAAAAACAGTGCGAATGGTAAGTTCGGAATAATTCAGAAGGAAACATCATAACCATCATCTGTCATTGCTTTTTTTATCAATGTAAAAATTTAAATTCAAAAAGACCATGGCGCAATTATAAAGAAGCAAGTGGAACTGCCCAGCAAGCTCAGATAACATCTCACAGAGAAATGTTAAAAAAGTTGAATGAAACCAGTATTTACCATTTTCTCATTCTAAAGAACATGTTAATCTTCAAAATTAAACTGTAACTGTCACGATTACCGAATGATTATTACTTTTGATAGCGGAATCATTGGTAAATACTTCATACTTATTTGCATCCACCGCATGGTAGCATATTCTATGTGTGCCTCCCTGTTCTGACGATGGAATCCATATAATATTTGTAGCATATATTCCACTATCAAACAAGTATACAGATGAATATTGTAAACCAAGTGGTCCGAGAATGATGAAGCGAATTATGCTGAAAACCAATGAAGCAAAGCTTAAATAAATACACATGGAGGGTCAGCTCTGTTGCCACAACTTTGGGAAGGAACAAATTAGCCGAACATGTAGTCGTGAAACTTTTTTCATTTTTAGCAAAACATCCTTTGCCAAAAAGTTACAAACATGAGCGCGATAAGGAATTTTGCCTATAGGAAAAAATGATCAAAAGTCAATTTCTTATATCGCACACAATGTCCTATTATATTATATCTAAACGCATAAACATGTAATCACAAAACGACATGTAATGCTTTTACCGAAAATAAGACATTTGGTAATGATAGTGGATCATAATAGCAGCGAAGTTTCCCCATGTGGTTTCGGTGGTTGAACATGGTCAATTTTACAGTTGACTGACGCTTTGAAGCAAGTCATTTGGCAATGATCACAAACTCAGTTCACGTTTTGTGTAATAATTAAGATAATATTCCATTATCGCACCCCTAAAAATTCTTGATGATACGTACGCAATAAAATATGATACAATTATATTCAGACTGTGGTATTCAATATTAAACTGCAACTAAATCACCAAAACCTTGGTATATATATTTCTTTGTAACCAAGTGTTTAATAGGTGCTAATAGATCATATCAAATGTTCTTCTGCTTTTACTTGAGTACACGTATACACGTATAGTTCAAATTTGAATAAAAAAAAAACTGATTACTGTAATTCACAAAACAAAAATAGTAGGCGGTACGGTATAAATGAAAATTAAGCAACTCACGCTATTTGTGTGGTGCTAGGATTGGCATAAAGAGTATTGTTGAGAACTCCGTTAGTTTGAGTAATGTCGACAACAGCATTCTCTGGTATTCCAAAATTTGGATACGTTGGAATCAAGTCGCATGCATCATTAGATGGAAAAACTAAAAATGAGATTATTGTGTACCAGTGTGACCTTCATGACAAGAGTTTATTATCGCTTATTATAAACTACTTTTTATTACTTTGTTACAATTGCTGATAAAAAAAACATTACTGATAATGAATTGCCCATTGGCGTAGCATCCACCCCTGCAAACCCCGCGGTCGCAGAAGGGCCCACAGCGTAAAGGGGCCAAGCGGTTAGAATTTAGAAATTTGAGCCGCAAAACCAAAAGCTGCATTGCAAAACCAGTAATGCACATCTTATAACGTTGATGGTAGTTCTGTTCAAATCGTTTTGTTACGTAACAATGCCAAGGAGTCGTCGATTTTCGAGAGTCTTGCTACGCCACTGGAATTGCCATTCAATTTCTGTAATAAACGGGTCTGCGGTAAAGAAAGATCCGAAAATAGTAAATAATAACTAATTATTATTAGATTCGTTGTTGCTTATATATCGATATTTTATCATTTTTTGCAAAGAATAAAGGCATTGTTAGGGCGAAAAACTGTTCAATTAATTTAAATTAGTATATGTTTTTGATTTAAAAAGTAGAGTTTTACAAATTAAGAAAAATTCATTCATTCAACTATTTTTAATAACTTTGTAAACGTAAAATATTTGAGACAGGAATTATTAATCCGATTATAAATTAAATACGGTGACAGTCAATTTGAAAAAAGTTTTTCTACGAATTATAATTTACTGGTTGCAACGATCCTTACTTACACTGTCCATGCGACAGGACCATTTATTGACCCAACAGTTTGCACACCTCACCTAAATTTTTCCCAAAAACATAAAAATGATATTAAACAGTTTGGAGAGCAAGGAAATTATTTTGCTAACAAGAAGAGTTTGAGCTCTCAAGTTTGTCAGCAAATACTGAATTGGTAGTAAAATTGTTAACTAATCCATAACTTACTACTGACTAAGAATTGCAGAGGAATGGAACTCATTGAATCAGTTGCAGAGACAGGTTTTCCTCCGATCGTTATATTTCGCTTTGGGTGATCGGACAACATCAGAGCCACTGGGACCAATCGGTTGCCAGAACTCAATCCATCGTAGGTTATTTGACATTTTTCCTTCAATGATAATAAGTTTTGAGAAAAAACATAGAATTTGTCATAATTTTCAGTTCAATATCATAACGAGAATATCGGTCAGAGACCGAAGACTTATCGATCGAAAGTTAGTGGATCCCAAAACAGCGCTCTTAATCCATAGTGACATCTTGTGTCCCATTACTAAATAATTATTAACTCGCTAATTATACGACATAATTCATCCAAATTCAATAGGCTACTGGTACGACATATGATGAATGCACACGCAAAATCTGGAGCAGATTCAATCTTGCTTTCGTGAGATATCGCGTGCATTTAACAGACAGACAAACAAACAGACAGACAAATACCTATCAACATACTTACCGATTAAAATCGATAAGTAATAAAGTACCTCGTTAAGAGTAAAATGGGAAAATTGACCACATATTCCGCCGCACTCCTGACTATTAGCGCCGTATCGACAAGTAACTGTGTCATTGTCTCTGTCTAAGTATAGAATATCGATGACACGTTGACAATTCGCTTGTAATCTGGAAAATGAAGACATTGGACATTCATTTGTAGGTATAATTTAATTGCATGGCTAGCCCATACGGCTAAAATTTACTTACTTTATGACAGGCAAACTGAATGTCGCAGGTGGATTATTCGGGTATCCACTGTCCGATCGAACTCTAAGATCTATGCTAAACAGACCAACTGACCAGCCGGAATTTGCACCAAACTCTAATCCGCCAATCCAGGCACTACCAGTAAACCTGAAAATATATCTCAGATATGGTATCAAAGTTTGACATGACAGCAGGAATGAGTCGAACGTCCAACATTTTTAAATAACCTTAACACCATAATTTCAAGTAATTTACACCGAAAGAGCAAATGCGCTTCAAAACCATTTTTGGCCACTGAATTTAATATTTGGTAATTGAGTATGGGCTTTTAAATTTCCATTGGCGATTGTTCAAATGAACCGTATTGTCGGACTTCAGTCAAGCGAGTTTATAAACTTTACTGAGAAAATGTACCCAACTATATTTTGGCTTAAAATAATCTTGTAACCTTGGTGTGATTCTCTTCGACGCATATAAAAATTATTGCGCAAATAATAATAATGAATATTTATTACATCATAGTGGTATGAGTACATGAACTGGAAATGAGTAGCCTATGTATTTACAACTTTGCCTAACCATGTGTACGCTCAAGCAGAAGTATATAAAAGTATATAAGCTGAATTTTTATGGCTCACTGTATACTGAAAGGCCCATTTGCTGTAATATTGGCCTCGAAGTCATTGTATCCATATGCCCAGTTTTCTGACGGATCAAATGTTGTACATTTGATTTCCACCGATCGTGGAAAATCCGTGCTGCTTCCTCTACTATCCAAGATCCAATTACCTCCATCATATCCAAGCGTTTGGGTTTGAATCGTTGCGTCGGTGCAAGAAGCATAGGAGTCTCGCCTCCATCCAAAACGAAAACTAAATTCGATCTAAAGAATTACCAATGCTTTAACTTTGCGTCCTTCTAATCGGTTTAACTTTTTAAAAAATCTGGTGTAATTCTACCACATGTTCCGTAAAATTATCCGAAATGAGACATAGTTTTTATATTCGTACTTAATAGAGCAAACAATTACTGCACATTACACGGACAATAAACTAGAAAATTAAACATCACGACAGAAAAAAAATTTATTCCACTACTTAAAATTTAAAAGCGATTGAGCCATGTCCAAACAATAACAACAGAAACAATTTAGGAAAACAGTAAAATTAAATACTCGATCTTTTATTGTATAAATTTAGCTACAATAAACATTGGTCATTGCTAAACTTTGTGACTTTCAATTTAGTAAAAAAATCATATTATAAGTAGTGGCTTACACGATGTGTATTTCCAGCGGAAGACTTATGTTTCCAAGATACGGTTCCACCGCGAAAATGAGATCCGGTCACAAAAGTCTGGGCACATACTAAGAGAATGATCGTAATACGATTCCAATAGTTGAGAGGCGCCATGTCGATGATACACTAAAATTATTCGATGTATATCAACTAAAAAAATGAACGAAGAAAAATAACTAGAAATATATACTATTGCTCTACGTGAGCTTTCCTATGATAATGGTTGGCTATTTTCACTGTCATTTGTCAGCAAGTAGTTTTATATGGAAACTGCATAAAATTTGCATGTACTGCGATCACGACGAGCAATATCGCCAATTTTTGATCTCGGTATCGGCTGGAAATAGACCGATAATTCTGATATATTCAGCTCTTTCTTCTGATCCAGAATGTTTTAAAAGGTAAGTTAGTACATATATGATTATAACTGAACTTATTTTTTTCGCGGAGAGATCACGCTCGTGGCATCTGTCTCGTTAACGCTACTGATTTTTGTTGTCATCAAATCGTTATCGGTATCGGCAAAAAGGTGATATCGTCACACCTTTAACTGCAATTAGAAGCAAATGGTATTTTAAATCGCATTTACTTTAATCTAGAAAGCAATGTCCAATAACTTAAAACATTTATCCGTTCTATTTCGGACGAAATTCTCATGAAAAACAGCATCTACGTATTGGCAAAAAGGAACATGATTATATATAGCATAAACTGTAATGCAAAATGTAATGGACATAAGATAATATGATTATTACACCTTTACAGAACTCTGGTAACTTTTGAAGGTTGCGACGCTGCATGACATTCATTTGATGTTTTTTTCAAATTGGCAGATTTATAATTGAAATTGCTTTTAAGTCTATTGACGTCCTACCTATACACCGCAATTACATTACATATACCGTTGAAACAAGCAGTTTGCAAAAGACTGAAAAAACAGAGCTAAACCGTCTCTTTTGAAAAAAACTTCTTTTTCATCATTTCCTATATTTTTACGTTAAAGCCCGTAGACGGTATTTTTTCAAAACGCATTTTTCTATTAACAATTTTTGAATTGTTATTTCTGAACGCAAACACATATTTTCGTTTGGGTTTGGGGATTTTCCTCAAAAACAGAATTGTTAGTGGTTATCGAACATAATTAAAGATGAGAAAGATGCGGTTATGCGTTCGCGAGTCTACTGAAGTTTATTATAAATTATAATAGATGTATGATCACATAAAAATTGAAATGATGTTATACCCTGACAGTGGAGTAAAATATGATTTTATGATCATACGATTCTGTAAATTAAAAATGTCAGCCAGGTCACGAATTTTATTGTCGCATTGGTATGCACTCCACCTAACTTGCATTTTTGCATATACATTATTGCTATATATCGGTATCGGCCATTCTGCCAACATTGGCACCGAATCAGCGATTTATAATCTCTACAATATCATTGTAACGAAATAGTTGGAAGAAAATTGAAAAAATTAACAATTCATTTTTAATTTTAACGAACATCGCGACGAGCTCGCGGTTGAACGCGGATAGTGATTTTTTGTGTCTTATTTGCTTTCATAAATTGATAATAAAACAAAAATATGATGTAATAAGCAACTTTGTCAAGTTAGTACCGATATTAGCAAAATTTCGACATCGGAAAATTTTTCTATCAATATACGTTAAACGGAAGAATATGCAACACGTAAATTGACGGTGTTTTTCAAATTTAGGATTAATTTTCAGTGAAGGAATTTCGGGGAATTTGTGTAACGCCACGTGATCTTGAGGTACAATAAGAATCTTTTTGCTTCGCTGCACGAAAAACCCACTTTCACAGGATAACTAGCAGGTTTTGTTCTGATGGATTTCGGGGGATTTATGTACTGCCTCGTGATCTTGAGGTATAATACTAATCCCGGTGGCGTGTCTTCCTATAGCGTGAGAACTCACTTTGATTTGTATATTTTTTTTATTTAAGCATTTTTTTATTACTCATGGCAAGATATTTGAAAGCCTGTTCATATCATATCCATGCTTGCCCTGACTACGTGTGCAGAAGATTAAAACACACAACTTCGATTCTCATGATTATTTACTAATCCCAAAATTACAGGTTTCACTGAACAACATTTTGAGTTCAATTACGTACGGCTCATGGGTGGATATCGTATTTAAATGTGCAGTTTGGACTAAACTGCAAAATGCATTAACAGAGAAATACGGTTGTGTTATAAGCGCGCGCAAAAATAAAGTCAATAAATTGTACCCAGGCTGTCAATACTATAGAGAAGTAACACAATCGCGAATATTACACTGAAATGTTAATTTATACATAAGAAATATTGTCTTATACATCTACGCTCCTGTCACATATTATAGGTTGAGAAAAACACGAATTACACTGCCATTGGTATTCCACATTGGTTTCCTCTACCTGAAAAGATTGAACAGCGTTGCTGTAAAATTTAATATTTATGCTTTGGCTTTTATCAGCATTAGAGCATTATTTCGGAAAATATCCTTTCGGGTTAATTCAATTGATGTTGGATAAAATGGATATATTGAGTATTTAATACATAAAATAGGTAATAAAATGGTTTTATAGCAAGCAAACTATGAACCAAATATAGTATATATTAGAATATAAGTATATATTTAAATATATGAATACTTATTGATGAAGATAGACATGCGCCAGGTAAGTGCAGTATAACAGTATCCTGTCAAAACGAATTCGATATGGAAAAAATCTAGTATTAATCAAAATCATTATACGAAAGAGAGCCCTGGAGAAAATAAAAGAAATACGAAGTTTCAGCGATGTGTATGTAAGACGGTTTCATTTTCCATTTCTGAAATGTGAATAACTAAAATTAAATCTGTTCAACGACGCGGTCCACAGTTTATCATCGAGTCTAAAATTACACCGATTGGAATAGGAAGATCGTGATTGAAATTGGCACACTATAACAAATGCAGAAATCAAATACAAACTTCATATTTTTAGCGAGTGCCTTCTAGGAATGTCCAAATTTAATAATACTTGGGTATTTCTAGGATTTTGATGCACAGTTAAAATTTGATGGCAGCTAGGAATTCACGACTGCAATGGCAAATTGTACAGATAAAAAAAACTTTTATTTCGAGTATCTGAATTCTTGGAAAATCATTTCTTCAAATATCCCCGAGGTCATTTTTTTAACACACATTGTTTGGGTATCCTTATCATTCTGCATTCGCTCCACTCTCGGCAATTGCAAATATACATAAATGAATAAATTTGCCACCTGCCAAATGCGGCCCGCGGAGAAGTTCTAATTTTGAATAGTGCGCGAGCCGCGAAAGAAATTTTTAATTTAGTTCAATCTGGTACGAGCGAGTAATTCCAATCCATTCACGTTGCAAAGCCTATGCCTGAAATTAATTTAGGATCAAATGAAAAATCTCCGATTATATTGATAGAAATGTGTATGAGAGAATAGGTTTTCTATGCCACCCTTATACACGCAGGAGGCGGTATGCATGTAACAAGGCCGTCAAATCTTGGTAACCGCCAATTTTCTCTCTTTTTTAAATCATAAATATACAAATTGGCGGAGACAAATATTTTATTTATACAGCGTTAACAAACAGGTTTCATTGTTATTGTTTACGATGATAAAAATAAATTATCAACGCCAAGAAAGAAAATCAACGAAAGCAAACCAACTACGATTACTCGTACGTTCTATCGTCCATTTCGATCCACATGGCTGGGTCTTTGTAACCATTTCCTGTGATTGTTAGGCCAAATCCAGAATCAAAGGTGAATAAAGCGTGCATCTAAAGTCAAAGCATGATTTTTGATAAAATTAAACGCAGACGAAAATTCCCGCGCATGCAAAATTTCTCCGGATAAACATGTTTTGTCCTCGAAACGAAATAAGACTTCAATAATAACGATATAAGTGAAACAAGTGGAACGTGGAACCAGTGGGGCACGACGAAAAGCAAGTCTACTTGGAAGTCAATAACTAATGGTCAGACGTGGGCAACACAGGCTAACATAAAAATTTTCTTATAACAATAAACTAGTTATCCCATTCATATGAATCGAAGTATTTGATGATGGAGGTAGCCGTAACCGGCCACCCTGCGAAAGCGATAGGTTCAGAAGTCTTTTTGAAAAATCACCTTTCTCTTTAATTACTTGTCCCATGGCATTTGGCGCAGGGCTGAGTTTGAAAATTAGGATGACTCAGGAATGCAAATGATTTATGAATTTTAGGCAATGTTTCATAAACGATTCTATCATTTAAAACTAAGTATACATATGAATATATAATTTCAGATATAGTTATACAAATTATTCGAAATTTTAGTTTGAAACACGCGTTTAGATCGTCAACAGCATCCACCTACAAGCCTCAAGATTTGCCCGCGCAACCCGTATTTTTGGATATAGTTAAATGAATGAAAATCGAAGTTATGTGATTTAATCATAGTCCAAGCAGTGTATGGATCTGTCCAACCTATATAATATTAGAACTAGACGGTACTTTGATATGAATAGGTTTTCATTTGACTTGCTATGTCTTACAGCTAAAATTGGCAATAAACAAAAAGAAAATGGATTTCCACGCCGTTAAGCACGCTACCCGGGTTTGTAATCGAACCTCAAGATCACGAGGTGCTACACAAATTCCCCGAAATTCCATCGTTGTTGACGATTACTAAAATTTGAAAACGGATAACTGTTCCCAGCTTTGGTGATCACTCTAAAGTTGATCGGATATCTCAATTAGCAGCATCAATTCTATTTTATAACGATCGGCGCGTTTTTCGTTGTTTCCATGGAAACGAAACCTCTATCCGGACTTTCCATAAAACGCACAGTACTAGGGTGGCTGGATAACCGATGTGAAAAATTTCATCCAGATTGGTCCAGCCGTTAAGACGCTACATCTAAACAGACAGACAGAACGACTGATAATAAGGGTCTCCTAGAAGCGGAGATCCAATAAACCAAAGTGCAAGACGCAGATAGGCGGTTACCACACTTGTATTTATGAGCGTTCACACACTTCGTAATTAGGATTTTGTTTCAGGCGAAGTGGCAATCAGTTTGCAGGAAGGTGGCATTGTGCAACGAACCTGAACCGTTTAGGTATTTCACTTTCCATGATTGTATGCGCTTTTTATTG